CATCAGTCGAGCCCGGTCCAGGTGTGACTTTTGAGAATCGTCCCAGAAGATTTAGGGCCAGGTGGAGGGGATCGGGGAAACAGCCGCTCATCCTCCAGACCACGGATATTTTGCAGGACACCAAACGAGCAAAGCTTGAACAGGCTCAGAACGATGCTGAACATGCCAAGACAGTCCCATTAGATTCAAGTGTACTTGGCAATATTCAACAGACTGCGCAACTTGAGGCGATGCGTCGTTTTCGAACCAATGCATTGGTTTTGCCATGGGAGAAAGGGCCTTTAGCACCATTATTTGGAGGACAGTCCATTTTGTTCCCCAAGCCAGAAGCCTCAGAACCCAAAATGCCGTTGATTGGACTTGTCGATACGCTCAACCCAGTCCCGACCTCAGCTAGTTCGTCACAAGTCTCTTCGCCAATAAGATCAAAGTTTGCAGAAAAGCGTATTGCTAGTGCCAGGGTAACCGTGTCAGACGATGAGATGCGGTCAAAGGCTTTGAACCAAGTCAAAACCTTAGTTTTGCTGGATGTCAGTGGGACAGCATTAGGGCAGTCGATGTGCAACTTGGCCGGGACCCTGGATGAAAACGCAGACATTGCACAAGTTTTGAGTGACGCATTTGCAAACAAAGCAACTGGGACTATTTGCAAACGAGTTTCATCACTTTGGTTGTTTGCAGGATGGTTAATTCGACACGGCGGCAACTGCATTTGGGATGTCACTGAACAAGAGGCATATGAACACATGTGCTATTTAAGATCTGTGGGGTCAGCGCCTACAAAACCTACCCATTTGGTAGAGGCTCTCAGATTCGCGCATGCTGTCTTGAGATTTTCGAGAGTGGACCTTGCTACAGTCCTTTCGAACAGAGTGGTTGGGGCAGCGCACTCCATGTATGTACAGAAGAGGAAGCTCAAGCAAGCACCGCAGTTGACAGTAGACATGGTGCACACTCTTGAGACGTTATGCATTGAAGAGAGCAGCACACTCACCACATTGGTATCGGGGGGCATTGCTGTTTTGTGTCTTTGGATGTGCTAGGTGGTCAGATGTATCAAGGCTGGAGAAAATTTGGACTGATGAACATGCAGGCTTAGTCATCGTCGAGGCCGAGTCATCCAAGCACAAGACTTCAAGATCGAAAGAAGACAAAACCCGGCTGTTGCCTTATACGGCCATCGGAAACTTCATGGAAGAGAAGTCTTGGGGAAAAGCTTTTGTGAAGGCATGGCTTGAGGTCAATCAGAATGCTCGACAAGTCTTTCTACCATCCTGGAACGATAGGGCAGGCAGTTGGGCATCAGCCCCAATGTCGACAACGGAAGCAACCTGCTTTTTTAAGGGAACTCCTCGAACCAACAGTGGGGCCAGAGGAGGTGATGGTGTTCAGTTCACATTCATGCAAGCCAACGCTGCTGACTTGGGTTGGTATGTACGAGGGGATTTCGAGGGAGGAGAGGACTCTCCTCGGTCACCACGTCGAACCAAACACCAAGTCTGCGACAACATACAACCGAGACGCACAGCTCATGTTGCAAGCAAAAGTCGCCAGGGTGCTGGCTATGATCCGCTCCTCTGAACTCAAACCTGACGCCGGCCGTGCGCATAGGTTGTTCGATCTGGTGGACAAGGAGGAGCATACACAAGTGATCCCAGAGCCTGCCACTCCAGAGCAATCCGAGGAGTCTGATTACGATGAGGATGAGCCACAAACGGCGCACAACGAGGTCATCAACAAGAAGAGGCCTAAGATGCCGGACGAACTCTTCGATGAATTTTCACGGGTCGTGCATCGTTTGACCGGTACAATACATGTGGTGAAAGATTTTGGAGAGGGCCTTCTTGCTTGCGGCAGACATCGCACCGTAAACATGGAAGACTTAGAGCAGGATAGC